TAAGAGGCCATTAAATGTCCCCAAAGATTAGAGTAGATAAAAATGTCAGTTAAGAACAGGTTCTAAGCTGTTGTTAGCATTTGAGCGTTTCCTAAACTGTAAATAGTGGTAATGAGACTTTCTGATAATATCCTGTTCGCATCTCATTAAAAAATTCCTATAGAACGGTCGAAATTAGTCTTATCAGCATAAAAATAAAGGAAGACGCAAGACAGTCTTGAAGAAAGTTGAACTTAATCAGGACCAGACAGAGACAGATTAGATTGCTATGAAGACAAACGTTAAGATACATACATACACAGATACATTCGAGTATGCGTGAATTAACCTAACTTTTATATATCCATTTATATTTTAACGTTTCTCGTTATTAGTATATATAAATCCTGTAGGAAAAAGCCGAATCGTCTTCTTCACTTAGTATTAACTTGAGGCTTTTGCGAGAATGAGTCTCAGCTCTGGCGATGTTCGTTAAATGGCCTGACGAACGAAAGCTGAGCCCGTCTTCGTCCGAAACGTTGGATGATGTCTCGTGGACTGCATTAACCTGAACGTTGTAGTAATGCCAAATGGGTGCAGCGCAACTCGAATCAGCCGGCATATTCTGGCGAGATTGACCTACGAATCCCTTCATTACGTACTTCCATACAAGAAAGTCTTCACAGCAAACTAAACAAAATCTCACAAGAAATGCAGGCCAAAAGAATGGCCGGCCTCAGATGTGCAATAATACCACATTCTTACGTTTGAGCATAGAAAATGTAGTGATTCACTGATTGATTTTTCATCTAAAAGGCGTGTCTAAGATTTAATCATGATGCCAATGTCTCGTCTAACATTCATATAATCTCACCCATTACCTGTAACCTGATCTCTCTCGTGCAATGTGCACGTGCAAATATATCTAATCCTGGAATGTTGGGTTAATTGTTTAGACTCAAACCAATCTCTAAGCTAATTTAGTCACATTCTTGTGGTTGGCCCCTCTCTCCTTAGCTCAAGATGCTCCTAATCATCTGCTAAAATCATTCGAGCATATACATTAAGTTTCTCGTATTTTGCAGTAAATGAATAAATTAATAAGGAACACCTGTACCTAACAAAAATCTGATCTAAACACAATTCTCTTCCGTGAACTATACTATGATATTAGATATGAAGACCAAGATAGCGTGGCCTCTTCTATGGTCGTAGTCTCCTTTCGCTTTATGGAAGTGGTCTAATCTCTATTTAGTAACTTGGTCGTGTTGTCGAGGCGAGTTAATTAGGCGAATCTTGTCCGAGGCCCTATTCTATAATAGATATCATAATTCCTAGCGTTAGACCGTGGACTTTGTACATTACCAGTCGTCAGACGTTTCGCCGAGATCGTCAGTGAGCGTTGTTATTCTAGGCATCAAGCAACAATTCGTCAGATAACCTGGTGCTAAAAATAGCAATACTCACTAACGATGCCGGTGAAAC